CCAAAAAAAACGAGACAATTCCAGGAAAAAAACATAAAAACATCTAAAAAGTCAAAAAAAATATTCAAAAATCCAAAAAATCAAAAAAAAACTGGAAAAACTGCAAAAAAAGGTTAAAAAACACGAGAAAAAGAAAGCGGGAGTGAAGCGGGAGCGAAGCGGGAGCGAAGCGGGAGCGAAGCGGGAGCGAAGCGGCAGGCAAGAAAACCATCGAAAACCGTGAAAAAACGTTGAAATCATCGAATCCGTTTCGTTCCCGCTCCGCTCCCGCTTCGTTCCGGCTCCGTTCCCGCTTCAAGCCCGTGGAGTCTTAACGCTACCATGATCATTTCAATGTCTAGGTGCCAAGGGTTGTTGCCACGGAAAAATCACCAGAAAACACGCGTCATGTATCAAGGTCAATTTACGCACCAAAAAATTCACCAAGTTGTTGCCACCAAAAAATCACCATGAAACCCTAGGAGTGTTAACGCTACCATGATCATTCCAATATATATATATGGTTCAGTTTACGCGCATACCCGAGCGATAATACAAATGCGATACTCGACGGCTACTATATAAATAACCTATATAGTATGCTACCTTAATGTCGCATCGGTGGCACTGAGTTAAGTAAGACGAAACATATCCAGATCCGACACCTATTTTTGGAAGATTTACTGCGGATGAAAACTTTCAGTTTGCTCAAAGTCAGTACAAAGATGAATCCAGCGGATTTGGGAACAAAGAAATTAGGAGTAGAAAGACGCAAAGACTTGGGCAGACTCATTGGTATTTTCATTGGTGATGATGAAACATCGACGCGTGCTGAAATTTTGCAAACTAGAAGAATTCAGATGATTTTGATGCCAGCATTCCAAGCAGCAGCAGGGTCACTTTTGCAGCGTTTGTTGTTGTATCCTGTTTATTTTGCTGTTGGCATGTTTATGTGTTCTCGCTTGCCACTAAGGAGACTAAGGTCCATAGGAGCCGCCGACTGAGCCGCAAGTCACCCAACTAAGGAACTCCTGAGGTGCAATTCTCCTTCCCGTTTTTCTTTTTGGAAGGCTGCCTACCCTGAATTCGTTTCGCTACTTTTGCCTGTCCCCTGGCTTGCTTGCTGGCTTTTCTTGTTGCTGCTCTGGGGGTAGCGATGTAGCCGGCCGATGCCATGGACTAGACTGCACTGCAGCGAGTGGAACTGGCGTTGCCCAGGGCCGCTCTCTGCCGTGCAGACTGGGGCGCCCGTGCGCAGCAAAGTCTGCACCTATGGCTCGTTCTGGTATTGGGATGAACAGACAACTGCCCCACTCTTTGGGTGAGTGGATGCTTATTGCTGTGTCTTCCGCTCCTGATGAGCCTATTTTACCAATATAGCGCTATGCTGCATACACTGGATGATGGCGATGTTCCTCAGTAAGTGTCTGAACAGTGAGAGCTATGTTACAATCGCTTTTGCCCCCTCAGCATGCAGAATTTGATGACATTTTTACTGAGGTGGCGTTTTTGCTATGCCGCTCAGGTTTCGTACCGGCAGCTTGGCCCTGCCGGAGTCTTTGTCTGGGCCCGTAGTGCCGTTCCCTCTCAGGACGGCACTGCTGCAAACAATCTCATTTGACCTACATGGATCTGACGACAGAGCTAAGACTTGTCTTCGGATCTTTGTGGACTTCTGCGGACTGAGCGTCAGAGCGTTCTTGGCCAACAGTAAGAACGACCAAAGTGGAAGAACACTATGGATGCTTGGAAAAGCACATCTGAGAGGAATCTGAGGAGGCTGCCGTCGTGTATAGTTTGCCAATAGAACGTTTTAGTCTGCCGTCTTTATCGACAGTTGCACGAATTTTTCACCCTGTTTGCTGGGCCGTTGACAATGCTAGCTAGTTTCAATGTGCATGTTTCAACGACACGGTGGGATTTCCCTCCGTGTCCAAGGCAAATCCTGTGATCTTTGTGTGGGTGTTTTGGTTGTGGCTCCGGCCCCTTTCTTTGTTTGCTTCGCTGTTTTTCCTGTTGGCGAAACGCAAATCTGGCCGGGGGATTTGCGTGCCGTCGCTGCTGTGGTGTGTTTTCCGTGTTGGTTCAATGATTTGCCGTGATATTATGGAACCAAGGAGTTTCATGATGCTTTTAATTGTTTACTCGCTTATCCCAATGTCAGGACCGAGCCTCAGAGCGAAATCGGCCGCAACAGAGGAAAAAAAAAGGTCATTTTTGCAGCGTTGCTCTTCTTCATCTTCATTCCTGTCAGACAGTCCTACAACCTCTACTACCACAGATTTCAAGTTTCTCCTGGCATTTGGTGGCATCGTAGCAATAGTGTTCTATGTGCTGATAGCAATGGTGCCTGGTGGAGACTCGTCATCGTCTTCAGGTCAGGAACTTTTGAGTCGTTCGAGCCGTGTTTTCGCCGATGAAAGGCAATGGATCTTTCAGATGGAGCAGTACCGCGCGATTAGCTTCATCCTAGCGGCGAATGCTTATTGGATCTATGGTGAACACGATCAGACCTCCATTGAGAACATGTTCAACCAGTTGAGGTTGGCCTGCCTTTTGCTCAAGAACGGTGAAGCAGATATGGTAGATTTGTTCCTGAACTTCGTCGAGGTCAAAGATGATGTTGGAATCATGGAACAAGTTGGAGAGATGAAACGGAATATGCATCTTACGCATGTGAACTTGTTGCATGCGGAGGCATGGTTGTGGGAAGAGTCAAAAGCCCACATCAAGAAGAAGGTGGATGAGCCTGAGCACGCGGACTTCTTTACTCCGATGCACAGATGCTTGGAACACAAATGGGACATATCTCCAGGAGATTCAGACCGTCTCGAATCTTCAAGGAGTTCTATAGCAAATCGAAGTCGAAGCAGAGATGAATGACTCCCGGGATTCACGGGAAATCCCACCTCGTGAGTATGAAATTCGAATTACAACAGATGTACCTCGAGAAGAAGCAGTTCGTTTGGCGCAGGAAATCGCAGATCAACATGGACGAGATTTGGTGGTCGAACTACCAGAACGAGTTGAACCAGAAGCAGAACAAGAAGGTGAACGAGATGGAAGTAGCTGAGAGCAGAGCATACCTGAAGCAGAAGCAGCAAGCAGGCTACGTTGGACAGCCAACACCCAAGAAGCACAAAGAATACAACAGATGAGGAAAATGATCGAATCGAACAGTCGATGGCAGAAGCACGCGCAGAACTTCGTCATGGAATCAGAGTGCTGACGTCCCGTGCGACTAGGTATGAAAACTTGGAGACCGCGAAGCAGCTGAAGAACTTCATCGACAAATTGATGACATGGAATCAGTGGAAAACTCAATCTGAGTACTGTGGCAGCCGTGGCAATCAGTGCATGCGGCAGCCGTGGTGAAAGCAAAGGCACAGTGGTGAACGCAAAGTGGTGAAGCAATCAATGCAAGAGATAGTGAGAGGCAAATGCATGTGAATTTTTTCCGCTAACAACTACCTGTGGAAATTGTGGAATTTGTAGATGTAAGTAGACCGTTGAGGTGACGTGCATAAAAGTGCCAAAACTTGCAGAACTGCAACATTCTTTTGGCAAGCTGGGGTGTAAAAATATATCCACTGCACTCACTCATGTCCATACATGTCCAGTTGATTGTTCTTATCAGTGTGACAGTCCATGCATGTCACAGGTCTCCGTGGCCCATTGCGCAAGGATGACACGCCACTATCTGGTGGCTCAAGCAACCGTGTGAGGAAAATAGGTCAGAGAGAAGTGGGCCGCTGCGTTTTGAGAAAAACCATATCTTCGATGACGTGTGAAAACACAATCCAAACACAATAAGACGCTAATTGTACGATTTGTTTTTAGCATCGATGTGACTGGTGATAGACATATATAATGACGACGCACGATTGATTTTTCTTTCAAAAACATTTTTTTCCATTATTTTTACGTGGGCAAGATAATGCGCAAAATTGATACCCGTTGTTTTTGGGGATACCGCCGAAGGTTATGTTATTTGTACAAACGATCTGAAACGTGACATCATTGGCCACCGCCCCACCCGCAACCATCTTTGATTTAATATACATAGCACGCACATGTTGAAACAAAAATCATTGTTACATTTATCCGCACGTATCTCTACGTATCACCTGCGCTTTGTTTGGAATGCGTAATTTGTGCAAGTTCACGTAACCATACTCATCGGCATCGAATCCCCCAACGAATGTCAAAGTGGTCCGCAAAGCCGGACACAGAGGCGACATGGAAAAAATCAGCGGCAACAGAGGCTTCAGGACAGTATGTGCACAAATTGTATTTATAGATTGAAAAAATCAAATTCAACAAAAAAAACGCGTATTATTTTATTGCCACGGTGCTCTACCCGCTCAAGATTTCGTTCATATCAGACCTCCGCATTTTTTTGAAAATTTCAACCTGTGGTACAAAACATTCAGGAATGACTTTGAAAGTAAATCCATGTTTTTTTTTCCAACCCAACAAATTAAATTGCGGGATTTGTTGTTTTTGTTTCAACCGAATCTTGCATAAATATGGTTTTGTGGTGTAGCAAACGAAATCCATGGGGATTATAACTTATGAATTTGTGGTCGATGGATCTTGTATATTTTGACCATGTTGATGTTGATGTTGGTGTTGATGTTGATGTTGATGGTCACGACAACGTTGACATAAGTCATGTTGGCAGCAACGATGTTCATGTGAACAGTGGAATTTCGTTCACAGGGGTTGGATGTGATTGGTGTTAGCAAACATGTTTTTACAATTTCCATTTTTTTTGTGCAAATGTGGTTGTTTGCATGTTTTGTACGAACCAACATTTGTGCATCTTCACTACAAACCTGTTTGCATGTGTTTTTTCCAATGATGAATTGTTTCTTGTTCTTCGAACGCAATTTCCAGGAAAACGTTGTTCACACCAAAGGGAATAAAACAAACAATGTATTTCCAAATTTGCTGCATGAATCTTGGTTCAACTCAAAACCCCGAACCTTTGTGGCACTTGTGGCCCAAAAGTTTGTGAATCTAATCAGGTGCATGAAGACCACTCGCGGATTCGTACAAGTTGCGCCAGAGGCCATGACAGCGGAACTTTCTTTGAAGGACCTGCAAGAGGCAGCGGTTGCAGGTTTCAAACCCGCGGCCACAGATGAAGATGCCATGACATCTGTGCAAACGGAGGAATCCGCGAAATTGGAAATCCTCGGCGACATCAATTTGGTGTCCGAGGAACAAAAAGAGAGCCTCATGCAGTTGAAGGAACCCCAGAAATATTCCACCATGAAATTGAAGATGGTGTCTGGGTGAAATTTACTGTTTCGATTTTTGGTTTTAAACTATTTTTGTTTTCCATTTCCAGAAAGACTGGATGATTCATCAAAGAAAACCTATTGGTGTTTTTGTTTTAACAACAATGATCAACCATTTTTTGTTAAGGTTCACATTTTTGGTTGATTGGGAATCTCAACATCTCCGTATGGTTTCTCAATTTATAATGTTGTTTGTTCATATTTTATATCTCATGATTTCTTATGTTTTTCCCAATTGGTGGTTCCTGTTTGGCTCAATGCCCCCACGAGGTCAATTTGAGTTTCAGTGGCGCGTCGGTTTTTTTTTTCACTCCTTACCGAGTGGACGGTACCCCGATGCCCGCATCTGTCATGAAATTTGACCAGAAGGAATGTGGCATGGCACCGGAAGATGGGAGATGACTGGTTGGGGTTGCAAGGGTCTACAGAGTCTACAGTGAATAGGGCTGTAGATGGGGTTGCAAACGAGATTGTGAATGGGATTACCCATGCTGTTGTTGAACTCATTAGTGACAATTTTTTTGATGGGAATTTTCACGTACTGTGCCACCGTTGTGGGGATGATTTAGCCACAGCATCCGCATGGTATGAACCATTGCTCAAATTTGGTTGATTTTTCCAAGCCGATGGAATCGACCATGACCCAATAAAACATCCACCTGATCACTGATCCATCCCAGGTATTGAAGAGGAGATGGCGAAGACTGAAAAGTACCGCAGTCTCTTTGGCTCCACCACCCCTTCGGTGAAAGATTACATCCTGGTGGATTCCGCCGAGCCCTGCTCCATCATGCAGATTGACCTCTGCGGCGGCGTCTTCGGGCTGCCGGAGTTTGCCAAAGCTCCCCCAGTACAGACGATGGCGTCGATCCTGGAGCAGGAGACCAAAGATACCGGCCATTTTTAAGAGGGAAAATGGTGACAATCCGTATATGACTATATGATACTATATGTATATACAGTATATATATATATATATGGTATGTAATATGTAACTATATATATATAATTATATATGTATATATAATATACAAATATGTAATTATACTACTATATTATATATATATATATACAGAAACAAATATGATATAATCCAGTGGAGTGGGGGATTTTTAAAACCCAACCCAAATACTGCAATGGAATAGTGATCCAATGAGCACCCTCTGGTGTCATCATGGCTTGCTGGCATATCCCCCAACGATCCTCTGAATAGCTGCAGGAATTGGATCAACCGACGCACAGTGTGGAGATCATTCCCATCATCAATGAGGCTCTGGAGAGAAGGATGTTTCACTTCACCATGTGCCTCGATCCCTTGCTCTTTTGGACGGGGATTCTCATGCATAGAATCCATTGTAGGATAAACATGGTTGTGAGATCCAAATGATGCTTTTGATGATTTTAACAATTGGATGGGGATTGTAGTATTTACATGTATGTACAGTACTTAAAACGGGTCCTTTTGAAGAGAAACACATATTTTCATTGGACGTTGATGTCGCGTCCTGTCACAACTTTTTTTGATCCGCGTCATCCTTTGGCGGATCGAGGTCAGAGCGGAAGATCAAAACCATGTCTCTAGCTGAATCCTACAAGCTGGTTCGATTTGTTGGGCATGGAATCCTCAATCGTGCCAAGGATTGCTGTGTGCTGACCACAGCGATGGACGTTTTCTTTTTCGATCATGTTTTTTTTTGGTCAAATCCCAAGTTTCGTGAATGTGAAGGACTCAACTCATCAACATCAACTTCAGCTTGAACCATCTTGAACCCCGAAAAACGGGAATTCTCAACATCAAATGGGAACATCAAATGGGAACATCAAATGGGAACATACTTGAAATATACTGGTATTTCAAGAAGCAACATTTGACTTGAGGATTTCACCAATGTGACTTGCGTGTCTTTGGACAATCGCAGGAAGGAGCCAAGCGTGGAGCGAAGTCACCTGCATTGGCCGCAGGATTCCAAAAGCCAGTGGAAATTGACGAGTGCCGTGGCGTCAGGTCATCCGTGACCGTTTTTGAGGGATTTTGAGGGTCTATGACTAGCCTTGGGCTTTGGGGCTGTTTTGAAGGCCTTGTTGGACGTTTCAATGTTGCCAAAACTGGCCGCAAAGCAGAAGGGGGAGTTGCAGGTGGGTAGCGGCAGGGTCAGTCCAGCTTAGCGGGAACGGGACAATTTTGAGGGTCCGAAAATTGTGTTTTTTGGATGCGAACAAATTTATTTTTGAGTCGTTTTCGCGAAAGTCTTCGTCCGAGGTACAAAATGCTGTGTTTCGCAGTTTTTTTGGTATGTTTGCATGGCCTTTTTGGATGTAGACAAAGTGAAAACACCGTACATCAACGTGTTTCTTGACGACAGAATAAGAACACCAAAGATACCAGTGTTTTGTAGTGGTGTGGTCAAAACAACTGTTATATGAAAAACGTGGCATTTACATGTTTCTTGTTCTTTTGCTTCGTTATGCTGCAAGAAACATCAGCAGCGGTGTCTTGGTGGGTCGTGGTGAATTTTTGGCTAGTCAGCGGGCTCATAAGGAGTAAGACATGGGATGTTTTGCAAGGATTTTGACAATTTGGTTTGTTTGCAAGGTAGTTTTGGAAACTTGACAAGGCGGCGGCAGATGTTCGGGAAAGACCCCGTAAATGGAAGCGTTTCTTGCAGATGCAAAAAAACAACTTGAACATCTGGTGTTGAGGGGAAGACTTATGCCTTGAAGTTTCTGCACGCGTTCTGCATAGCATCATTATTGCTTTTAATTTATGAGTTTTCTTGAGATTTCTTTTTCAAAGACAAAGGAGAGTCATGAAGGAGCCTATTCAACCAGCCCCGCTGGGACTTTGGGCTGGCTTTCGTTTTTGTTTTTTTTGCTGATACATTTGGGGTGTGACGATATACTGAGTATTGTTGGATAGTAGTTTCAATGCATTTTTCGGATGATTCAGACGATACCAGTTGAATGGGGTGATTTTGTTGTGGTTTGCCCAGATCTTGCTGGGTTGAGCTTTCTGTTTTTTTCTGTTCCGGAAGACTAGAAAAGGAGACCATGGAGACCATCGTTTTCATCATTTTTTCTTTGGCTTTTCTGACATGTCCAGTTTTTTGTTGACAAGTCTCGCGGGACCTAAGGCTTGACCCTGAGGGCAAATTTGTGATGGAACTTTGCGGCCGGAAACAGACGGTCAGAGAAGCTCTGCTGAAATCAATTTCATGGTCGAGTGGTCGAGCTCTTTTTGACCTGGACTGCTTGATCTCTTTCGATCTCTCTCCGAAAAACAGGGGAAAATCCTGCAGATTTCCTTGACCAATTCAGTGTAGGTCGAACGATATCATACTCCCATTGTTTAAAGGGATGAAACCTGCAGTGCGCCATTCAGCCCGATGTTCCATTTGCAAAAGCTGTAAGATCCAATATGGGTTTGTCCAGAAATTGAGTATATATATATATATTATACATAATGGAAATATACTATACTATGATACCCCAATTTGCAACCATGTCAACATTTATATTATATACAGTACCTTACACACACATATATATATATATAGTACCTTATATATATATATACATATGTGTATATATATATATACACATACACGATTTTATGACGCAGTTGTTCCGATTGTATCACCATAAATCCCACAAAATTTGATTGGTTTACAATCTTCCGATCTTCCGAATCACATCTCAGTGCTGAAAAGCCGAGAAGCCAAGGATTTGTTCCAGCAGTTTTCAGACATGGAGAAGCCTCTCAGTCTTATCCAGTCTTTTTATCCAAAACATGGGTGTGAACATAGGATACCCTGAAATCGTTATTTGATGGTCAAAATGCCGGTCAACCATCAAATTTTTTGACATCCTATTTTAAGGGATGGATGGCCCGATTTATCCCATTTTTCCATAGCACAAATGGTGACGGTGATCCTACAATGATGCAACTTATGCATCAAACAAGGTAGTGTAACGGGGATATTTGATGGGACTTAATTCAATGGATGGAACAAAAATGGGTGTCTGACACCAACCGCGATATGGGGACATCATGGGATGTAATGAGATCTAGAACCAACAATGTGATAATCTGATCTGGGGTTATCCAGATATATAGGATTGGCCGCAATTTGTGGCACTTTCGGAACCATTGCATGTAGAGGTGCCCTGCTTGCAGATATGCAATGGGATAGGCCATTCTTGGACAAACCTAACTGAGGTTTCAATCCCCCCCAAGTTCTCAGCCGACATACTCCTCTGTTGAAAACTGAGGACCCTGATAGATTCTTTGCAGCGCAAGGTTGTAGTTGGACTTGCTCACAACGATCTGCATGGTGGCAACTTGTTGGTCGATTCTCAAGGCTTGGTTTGGCTGATCGACTTCGCTACTGTGAAGCAAGACCAGCATGTGCTGATGGAAGCTGGGCTTGGGATCGGCAAAAACCGAAAAGACCAGCAGTGACTACCACCTTTGCACCAGAGTTGGTTCTAGATTCCTTCCCTTCCTAAGAATCACTGGGCTGCAAAGGCACTCCAAACAGGATTTTTGCTGATAAATTTCTGGCTTTGCAACCCAATTTGAAACCCCGCAGAATGTCCTGAACCACTAGAAACCAGACTCAGTTTTCTGGTTTTACAATGTGTTCACCACTGTTTGATATCCCTTTTTTCAGTCTCAGAAACTGGGAAACTTTGCCAAGAAAAAAGCCATCGCTTGGATAATGTGAACTTCCGGTGCCTTGCCCACCGGATCCCACTGGATCCCACTGGATCCCACGGGTCCGGGCAACTTAGGACCTCACGAAGTTTCTCTCGGCATGTACTTTCATGTACTTACAGGAGAAGGTCGGGCAAAAGGGCGTGAGGGCGATTTGGGAAACAGTTGACATGTTTTTTGAAGTCAGGACACAAAGCACGGTGAAGAAAAACTTCCAGTCAATTACTGTTTTGCTCTTCTGATATTCCGAGCAGAACAACAAAGTGACCAATTTGGGATTTCAAAACGAGGACGAAAAGGTCCCTTCAACGACTCCGTGGGCTTTCCATTACCACTTCTGACATGTTGTAAACATGTGCCATGGTCAAAACTCGGTCATATTGCCCATATTGGGGGATAGTCATTGATCTATTCATAGGGATCGACACACCCAATACTTCAGGATTCCCATTGTGGAATAAATGACCATGGCACAATCTACAGCCAAACGTCTTGCCCGACTCTGTTGGTGATGACGTTTGGTTGAGCTGAAAACGTGGTAAAGCATGGGACAATTCTGCATTGTTGTTCTCTGGATCTGCGATAATAGCGGAATGCACGCCATAGGGACCTGTGCGGCTGTTTTACGCATACCCATATGCATCCGCAGCCGCATCCACATCCACCATCATCATCATCATCATCATCATCATCATCATCATGATCATCATGATCATCATGATCATCATCATCATCATCATCATCAGCATCATCAGCATCATCAGCATCATCAGCATCATCAGCATCATCAGCATCACCATCATCACCATCATCCTCATCAGCATCATCAGCATCATCAGCATCATCAGCATCATCAGCATCATCAGCATCACCATCATCCTCATCGTCATCGTCATCGCCATCGTCGTTATCGTCATCATCGTCATCATCGTCATCATCGTCATCATCGTCATCATCATCATCATCATTATTTTTATCTTCATCTTCATCACCCTCATCATCATTATCGCCATCACCGTCACCGTCACCATCACAATCACCATCGCCACCATCATCATGGTCTTCATGATCATCATGATCATTATGATCATTGTGGTCATGATGATCATTATGATCATTACGATCATGTTCAGCATTACCACCACCATCAACATCATCATTGTCATCGTCATGGTCAGCATCATGGTCATGGTCATCCTCATAGCCGTCCTCCTACCCATCATCGCCATCACCATCCTTGTCACCGTCACCGTCAGCATGACCATCATGGTCATCATCATCATGATCATCATGATCATCATGATCATTGTGACCATGATATGATTATCATGATCATCATGATCATCATGTTCATCATGATCATCATCTTCATCCTCATCTTCATCTTCATCTTGATCTTCATGGTCACCACCACCTACTCCTCCTCCTCCTCCTCCTCCTCCCCCTCCACCTACTACCTCGTCCTCCTTCTCCTCCTTATCGTTGTCGTCATCTTGTCGTCGTATTTCGTGCATCTAACATCCAACACCAGTCTCATCATCTTCAACAGCAACATCATCATGGTCAGCTTCTTTCTCAAACATGTAGCAGCATTAATCCCTTTTTTACCTTCCGAGTTGAATAGGGGGGAAATGTATATACCCAATACTTTTCTCGATCTTTGCGCTTGGAAGAAAAAAATAAGGGGGCGGAAATTTATTTTCCCAAAGCCCTTCTTGATCTTCCCACTTGAGTGTAAAACTTATCACCAAAAAAAACCTAGGCTACCTGAGTTCTATGTAGTTTAGTACTAGTTTAGTACTGGGGGAGGTGGTTGGCCCTTTCCCGGACCAGGGGGGAATCGAATGGGGGGGAGGGGGGCGCAGCCAAAAAGCGCATGTCATTGGAGATTGGTGATGTTGGATATCTGTATATTTTTCGCTGCTTTGCAGCTGTCTTTGTGCTCATCCCCATCGACTCTATATACTCGCCACCACATGCCGCATTCCTTTAGCATGAGCGTTGCATCCTTGAGGGATTACACCTCTACACACAAAGTGCCTCAACCGAGCATCCATCGGTTGAAGCACTTTAGCCCCATCTCGTGCATGTATCTTGTCAGCAAACTCAGCACCTCGATCTTGCATTAGTTCTTGTAATACCGACCGTGATTTTAGTCTTCTTGTTATTCTTCTCCTCGTTTAATTTCTCTCTCTTCCTGTCCCTCCTGTATTTGCCCCCACCTACCTTTCGTCCCCCCCCTCTCAAGTATAAAGTTTAACGGTGGCGGGAATTATTGTATTCCTAACATTCTCCTTGATCTTCCCAAGTGAATGTGAAGTTTAAAGGGGACAGGAATGTATATTCGAAAAACCCTTCTTGATCTTCCCACGTGAATGTAAAGTGCAAGTGCGACAGGGGGGGGAGTTGTATTCCTAACATCCTCCTCGATCTTCCCAACTCAATGTAAAACTTGTCGGGGGCGGACATTTATATTCCTAACGCCTGTCTTGATCTTCCCAATTGAATGTAAATTTAACGGGTGCGGACAGTTATATTCCTAATATCTTCATGATTTTCCCAATTGAAGGTAAGGTTTGACTGCGGTGGGAATTTGTATTCCTAATGTTCTTTTTGATTTTCCCAATGAAATTTACATTTAACAGGGGCGCGTATTCCTAATAATTATCCTTCTTGACCTCCCCAGTTGAATGTCAGGTTTGGGCGTGTAAATTTATTTCCCTAATGTATATATATATACCTTTCTTGATCTTCCCAATTGAATGTAAAAAAATGATGGAGCACGAATTTATATTACCTACAAATGTCAGATTGGATGCCAGATATACTCAGATTGGATGCCAGATATACTGTCAGAATGTGTCAGATAGAATATCAGTTGGTGGGGATCACTCGAAGAAAGTAATGATATTCGTAATATCCTTCTTGATTTTCCCACTTGCATGTAAGGTTTATGTAAGGTTTAATTGGGGCGGGAATTTATATTCCTGCTATCCTTCTTGATCTTCCCAATAATTGAATGTAAATTTCAACGGGGTTGGCAATTATTGTATATTCCGTTATTCCTAATATCCTCCTTGCTCTTCCCAATTGAATGTAAAGTCATGTGAAATTTATCTGGGGCGGGAATTATATTCCTATACCCCTCTCCATCTTCCCAATTGAATGTAAAGTTTTTGTAAAGGGTAACGCGGGCGAGAAATGTTATATTCGTCCTACCCTTCCCGATTTTCCCAATTGAATGTACACTTCATACAAGGTTCAAAGAAGGCAGGAATTTATATCCCCAACACCAATCTTGATTTTCCCAATTGAATCCAATTGAATGTAAAGTTTCTGTAAGGTTTAACAAGGACGGGAGTTTATATTCCTAATACCCTTCTTGATTTTGCCAATTGAATGTACAGTTTATGCAAGGTTTATTGGTTTAACAGGGGCGAGAGTTTATATTCCTAATATCCTTCTTGATTTTCCCAATTTAAAGTAGAATTTGCCGGGGTAGGAATTGATATTCCATCTTCTGACCTGCGCACGGCCAACAGTAGCTCTGAGGTGAACGAAAAGCATATCCAATCCTTGGCTAAGATGATGGCTGTCACCCCCGATGCCACCACTGATTTACCTTTGGCATTCTTGAAACTTGGGACTGGAAAGTCATAATTTTCTAAAACTTTTTTTTTAGAGTTTGACATTGTTGTAGCAACAATTTGTGGCATATGAGCAAGAACAATTGGGAGCAAGACTGGGTATTGACGGGTGGTGATAAGGATTCCACTGGGTATTATTGGGATATATAATATATAGATATATGGATTTTATGATATATACACGTATTGTGAAGTATTACTGCAAGAACTGATGGGTTTCTCACCACTTCAGGGCCTGTGGTGCCTATCATGGACGGTAAACAGCACTTGAAGTGACCAGCCTTTGGACCAGTGACTTCTGCGCCGAGGAATGATGCGCAAGACGACCCCTTGGCCATTTTTTTCTTCCGCATCATTTCGCGCCTGAGGTCCGGAGATGCCGGGAAAAGCGGTCCCTGAGGGAAAGCATGGTCTCCCAAATGTTTGTTTTTCACCCAACCTTGTCAATTGCAAACAAGATTTTGGTGGCTGGATCCCCAGGTCCTTCTTTTTCACCACATCAGGATGTGGTGATGTGGGTTCTTGTTTTTTTGTGCTGCATCCCGCCTACTCCTCCTCCTCCCGCCGTCCAGCTCCCTCCTCTCCTCCTCTCTATTTCAACTCTCTCTATCAACTGACAGTATCTCTATCGATTTCTCTATCCACTTGTCTTTATCACATTCGTCTCCGTCAACTTCTCGCTCTATCAATTTGTTTTTTTGCATTCATCTCTATCAACTTCTCTCTCTATCAATTTGTCTTTAGCGCATTCGTCTCTATCAACTTCTCTCTATCCCCTGGCACTTCCTGCCTCTAGACTGGCTAGTTCGGCCTTGGGCGCTTTGGCCACCGCGGCTGTTTTGCGTGGCAAGCGTGCCGCTTCTTGCTTCTGTGTGTAATGGCTTCTGTGTGGAAAAGTGCGTTTCTGTGTGTAAAGGCGCCTGTCTACAAAAGTGTTTGTGACAGTGTGTAAAAGCTGCTTTGTGTAAGAGCGCCTGTATGTAAAAGCTGCTCTGTGTAAAGGCTTCTCTATGTAAGAGCTCTTCTGTGCAGGAGCTTTGTGTAAAAGAACCTACTCTGAACTTGTCTGAACCCTGTCTGAACCAGTTTGAACCAGCGAGCATTTTGAGCCCATGAATTCAGCTGAACATAGCCCGAACTCGCAGGCACGTTTTGGATGTGAGCTATCGAATCTGGTAGCGGAGCTTCGTGCTCCAGGGCCTCCGCTCAGCCTCACGGTCGTAGCGTGCCGTTGGCTTTGCATGGTTTTTGCGGTGCTCTTGCTTTTGGCAAAACTCTGACAAACTGTTTGGGGAATCAAAAGGCAGACTGCAACTGCCTGCCAGCGTGTCACTTCTGAACTTCTGGACTTGTCGCACGGGCACCCGGGCACAACCCCGATCCACGGGCACACGGGCACACGGGCACAACCCCGATCCACGGGCACACGGGCACACGGGCAGAGCCCACCAGAGGACCAACCTCAGAATAGCTCGGGTGTGCACTGGTGCAGACGCCGGGTCAGGTTCAACGAGGTTCCGGAGAAGGTTCCGTGGGAGGCTTTGGTGCAGAGCCAGGTCAGGTTCAATAGAGGTCCGGAGAAGGTTCCGGAGAAGGTTCCAGGAAGCCTTCGTGCAAAGCCAAATCAGGTTCAACAGGGTTCTGGAGAAGGTTCCGGAGAAGGTTCCGGAGAAGGTCCGGGAGGCTTTGATCAGAGCTAGGTCAGGTTCAACAGGGTTCCGGAGAAGGTTCCGGCGAAGGTCTAGTCAGGTTCAACAGGGTTCCGGAGAAGGTTCCGGTGAAGGTCCGGGAGGCTTTGGTGCAGAGCCAGGTTGGGTTCAACAGGGTTCCGGAGAAGGTTCCGGAGAAGGTTGCGGGAGGCTTTGATCAGAGCTAGGTCAGGTTCAACAGGGTTCCGAAGAAGGTTCCGGAGAAGGTCTGGGAGGCTTTGGAGCAGGCTGAAGTGTTTCCAGCGCTTCGTCGGTTGGGGATACCACCGAAGCTGATCTTTTTTTACCTGTCGTATCTATGTTATCTATGTTATCTATGTTATCTATGCTATTTATTTAATCTATTTCATCAATCTTATCTAATCTAATCTAACCTAATCTGACCCAATCTTATCTAATCTTATCTAGTCTTTTCTAATCTATCTAATCTTTCTAATCTATCTAATCTAGCTAGTCTGTCTAATCTAATCTATGTAACCTATCTAATCTATGAAATCTGTCAAATCCATGTAATCTATCTAATCTATGTAATCTATGTAGTCCATGTAATCTATCTAATCTATGTAATCTATCTATGAAATTTATCTATAAGTAATGTTATCTAAGTAATTTATCAATCTAATTTATGTATGTAATTTATGTATGTAATTTATGTATGTAATTTATGTATGTAATTATCTATCCGATTTATCTAATTTATTTATCTAATTTAATCCTATCGTATCCTATCCTATCCTATCCTATCCTATCCTTTTTTCTATCTATTCATCTATCTATCTATCTATCTACCTATCTATCTATCCTATCTTTCTATCTTTCTTCCTTTTTTGATCAATCTATATCTATTTTTTTGTATTTCTTTATCGTTTGATCCGTATCAATCTTAATCTCCCGCTCTTTCCATCCCATCATCATCCACTTCCGCCTTCGCCAGTTCATCGGCTTCTCCTCCTAACAATCGGAAGGCTTGACACGTGGGTTTATCTGGTCCTTCAATTTTCCAACATCGATGGACTTCAAAAAAAATCGGAATGCACCGTGCAGGTACTGCATGTGTATCTATGAGAGCGGTCCTGGGTCCCCGGAAAATGATGGGCTGCCTTTCGCCGTGGCATTGTTTTCCTGGTCCACACGCATGCTGTCCTACAGTGAGCCCTCGCTGTACCAGAAGACCAGGGCTTTGAAACTTGATTCACAGTGTTTTTAAGAGAAAATAGGCCACGCAGAAGCCACGAAAGCTTGTTACTGAGAGATAATGGTGTTTGGGGGGTCCCCAACTTAGAGACGATGTGAAACTATTCAGATGATTGGCTGCGCTTGTCGACATGGCGCTTCGGGTAATTTGGTGGAGAGAACAAGGGCGCTTGAGTTTGTGAAGGTTTCAAACATCCCCGAAGGATTCTTAAATGCAGGGTCAACTTTGGATGCTGTCATATAGACAGGTCGTGACAGGTCATAGTTTTTCATGGATCACTGTGAACCAATGGACCAAGGTACTGGTCCATTGCTGGGCTGCAGCGCATTCTGTGGGCCATTGGGCATGATGTTGGTCCTGTTGCCGCCAAGTGGATTGAGGCGAGCAATGACGGCAAGAGACCCCAGTGGGTGTAGGAAGTCAATGTAGAAGATACAAGCAGCGACGGAAAGAGTAAGAGACCAGGTTTGACGGTTAGACATCAGAATTGCAGCAGGAACTTGTTTTTGTCCAGGGATCAGCTGCCAGGAAAAACGCGAGTTGTGGGAGGGTCAGAAGGGGCGCCGTCTCAGTAGCTCAGTGGCCACCGACAAGCAAGCGGTCGCGGCCTATTCGTCACCTGAGCTGGTTGGGGGTGCGGCCCCCCGAAAATAGACCAGAGTATTGCATGTCAGTGTTTTGCCATCATTTTCCCATAACAAACGCAATAAGATAAGATACATCCCATAGATTTTTGGACACACCCAAATCATTTGGTTGATTTCTACATCGTAATAATATCAAATATGGCCAATGGTGGGGAGAAATTTAGATCATGGATAATTTTCCATAACACTTTTTTGGGAGGAAACGCGTTTCTAGATGTGGCGTCAGTACTTGTGGGAAACTACTTCTAATGCATTCCTGGACTTTTTGTTTTGCAGTGCAATGTTTCTGTAAACAATTATTGGCAACAGTAGGGTGTTTGTGTTTGAGTGCTTCCCAACATTTGCATTTTCTCCAAATGATAGCTTTAATTTTGCGGAAGATTCCTCCAGTGCCGGGCCCGTTTTTCTTTTTTGTCAGCTTTTTTGTCAGCTCCGTCCGTGGATCTCCAGTGGGATTTTTGTGGATCTCCGTCTGAGGTTTGAGTTGGAGTTACCCACCTATTTGTCTCAAGCGGGTGCATCAGAAGGTTGGGCCACAGATATCTTGACCAGAGAGAAGGTCAACGTCATGGAATCCTCTGTGCCGTTGCTTGGATGAAACACCCTGGAGCCACCGGAAAACCAGGCCTTTGAAAGGCGATCATGGCAGGAAACTTCAAGGATTTCTATAGACAGAACGTCAAAGAACTAAATAACTGGAGCTGAATTTGACGTAAACCTCAGGGGCAGAAGACACTTGGGGTCATGATTCCTTAGGTAGGGGTCGTAGACTATCAGAGTGGATCTTTACTCCGCTGGGAACGTGGGTAGCACAACAGTTTAGATCGTTTACTACTAAAAAAAACACCATTTTTCAACGATCTCAGGAGGGCCAAGCCAGCACTAAGAAATTCATAGAAATTCGACTTTACATGAATATTTCAATCCCAACCCCAAAAGAGTGATCTCTAAACCAACCCCAAAAAAACTAAATCTGGGTATATGACATTCCACATGGCATCCACCAAGATTGACGATGAAATTTGATGGACGTCTTGACTCCCGGCGCCATCAGCTTGTGGACAAGGTGTGTTTCCCGGGCTGGACATTGGGACAGAGTCATACCACCATTAACAGGGAATCATCATAGCCAATTTCAGGATTCCCATTATGGGAACGACCGTAACCCCCATATTATGCCAGCAACACCATGGGATTATAATCATACATCATTGTAGCATAGGGATACATAAGGGAGGGCTACATTGCTACATTTTTTAAAGAACGACGTAAATATGTATAAGTACATATGTAAATATGTTATATATATATACATGTATATACGTATGTTGGTAAATATGTATAAATGTATATATGATGTATATTTGTAAATATGCATATATGTATTTGTATATATTTACATGCATACACGGGTGTATGTATACTTGTATTCAAGTAATATATTTTTAGTTACATATATATATATATATATTCACAAAATGTGTATATATGTACACATGTATATTCGCATACTTGTATAAATATGTATGTATTTGTTTTTAAATATAAAATGTACATATGTATATTTGTAGATATGTAAAAATGTACATATGTAAATATGTATTGTGTAAATGTGTATTTCTACGCATATGTACATATGTACATGTGCGTAAATGTATATATTTTTATATGTATATAAATATGTAAATATAAATGTATACATTATACATTGTATATACACGTAAAAATGCAATTATGTATATATACATATGTATGTATGTATATATGTAAACATGTAAATACGTATATATATATGTAAATACGTACATACGTAAATGTGCATATACACACACATATATATATATGTATATAAATATGTATATTTGTAAATATTTGTGTATGTATATATGTGTATACATATATATATATATATACACATTCCCATTTTAGGAGGGGCAAACAACATTAAACATTTTTTTTGGTATGGTTTCCAGCATTTCTTTTTTGGTTTCATTTTTGCATCAAACCGCAAGGCAAAGACGCTCTTCGACAATTTGACGCCAATTTTGAAGGCGGGGTGCTGATTTGTTGGTCAATTCACAGTAGAACAAAAACATGAGGCAGAAATCTTGAGAAAATCTGGGGATAGGGCACTTTTGAGATTCACTGACGTGGAATCCTTGTTTCTACTGGTTGATCAGAACCGAAGATACCGCAGAAGGTCAAAATGGTCAAATTCCTCGGGAAATTATGGGATTCAAGGTGCACCCCTGACCCCTTGCTGCCTGCGATAGTGGATGAAAGGACAATGTGAAGGAAAACCTGAGGATTTTTTTTTGGTTGAAACATGTTGAAACAATAAATGGAGACTCTTCAAAATCAACCCATTGAATAGTTGGGGAGTTCGGGCTGATCGAAATCTGGGTCGGAAAAATCCGAGTCCTTTGCACCATGCCTCTTCGACATCGATCTCTTTTGCGGTCGTACATTGGTCGGGCACCTCAGGGGTGTGGTCATGGTTTATGGAAGCATCAAAGATGGTGAGTTCAGTAAAATCGTACTGACGTTTAGTGGTGATTTGAGCATTTTCTCATGTTTTCCTATCATTGGTTACTATAATTATCTTGCTGACTGTTATGTGAGTTCGTGTTTATTGTTGTCCCCCACATCACTGTGCGGGGTTCTTGTTTTTTGAACTCCATCCACTCCACCGCCTCCTCCTTTGGCCGCCCGCGCTTCCGCCACAATCAACCACCATGAACTTTGAACTATCCAACTTAGCTCTTTCAACCCCCCTTCAACTTATTCCCATCACATTTATCTCTGTCAAATTTATTTAACTTTCCTGAATCAAACTTACCTTTATCAACTTATCTGTCTCAATCTTACCTTTACCAATTTTATCTATAGCATATGAAGTTTACCTTCATCAAGCTTACCTCCACCAAGATTGCCTCTGTAAGACTTATTGTTTCGTTTTGCATGGCCGGTGCAACACTTTGTGCGTCTTGAATGCGTGCTGTGTGGCAGGCAAGGCACTTGGTGCGTCATATCTCCATCAAACTCATCTCCAGCAGACTTACCGCAATCCACTGACCTCTGTCAAACCTACCTCCATCCACTTCTGACAAACCCACCTCTCTCAAACTCACATTGTTCACACTTCCTTTCATCAACCTTATCTCTATCAAACTTACTTCTTTCAACATTGCTGCAAACTTTTTTTTTGAAAAAAAATCAAGCTTAACTCTATCCACACGATCCCCGTCCAATTATTAAACTAACGGCTGTCCAACTCGCGTGTCACCTCTTTTCTGTCATATATTTATGTGTTGTCTTCTACTGTATGATTTGATACCACCAATATATGTATCCAACCCTTATTAAACAATCCCTCTTTCTTCTTTTCTTCATTACAGGAAGGCTGAACATCTGGGGTTATCCGATCCTTTACTTTCGCACGGCACTCCAGTCATTTTACATGAGTTTCGGTGGGAATTTGACCTGGAACCCCACTTGACACGGGATAGCCATGAATGGCCGCATAGATAGTAACATTGTCTTGAGATGCTCCTAGCTGGCAATGGACATTCCCGATTTCCTGGTACAAATCTTCTACTTTCATGGCCCATCTACAAAAGCCACGCGCAGATTGTTGGAGACGCCGGTTCCGGCAAATCTGTGTTGACCAAGCAGATCTTTGCAGCGCTGGCTCAGAACCAGGTGGAAGTGTTGGGAAGTGTTGGGTTTTGTTGGGCGAGCCGGTGGACCAAGCCCCACTAATCATGGGACATATAATACATAGATTATGTGTATACACATACATTATATATATATACACACATGCCACGAGCAGCAGATGGATGCACAGCAAAGATATTTTGGTTGAGGCTAAAACAGATGGAATATTTCAGAATTTCCGGACGTTGTGCGCAACTTCAAACTCTCAGTGTTTGGACGGCCTCTTTGGACAACCGGGTCGGAAGACCAAGGAAAACTCTACCATTGGTATTTAATGGTTATGGTATCAGCCTTTCACAGAACCGCAATGTTTGGATCTTACATGATCTTATTCTCCGGAATAGACGTCCAAACTACAATTATCATATTGCATGCAGACCCTGTTGCTTTAGCCAATACAGTGCCTGTTACAGACGGCAATGGCTGAAAACCACGAACTTTCCAAAATTGATGATTTGATGCAAAACTTGGGTAGTTTAAGTTCCAGGACTTCTGCCTTGGGAAATCGGACCGAAGGTTGTCCATGGGGACCGATCAATGTTGATCTTCTATGGCGTGTAAGATGGTCTAGGCCCCCAGGAAGTATCTGGTTTCAAAAGTGCAAGTGCCCAAGTACATAGCATATACATCAGTTGCACTCAAACCCTACTTTTTCCTAATCCAGCTTTTAGACATTCTCACTAAGCTGTTTTATTGGCAGCTGTCTTTTTTTAGCTTCAAAAGTCACACAGTGACGGACCCTGCCATAGCTGAGCAGAAAAACATAGAGGTGCGAATCGTTGTGGCAAAGACAGGTGGATCGTGGACATAAACTGGGCGAAACCCTTGCAGGTTATGAGCCCAACGCTCTGAAGAAGATCGACATTGAAAAAGAGCTTTTCGACTACAATGTTCACCAGAAGAAGAGCCTTAGAAGCCGAACTTCGACAAGGCGAAGACGAAATAAAGAGGGCGCAATTTTGCTGAGAATCTGAGCTTGCAAGTGGAGCTGAGCCGGTCTTCAGACCAGCCTGCAAGGTCATCAAACCGTTCCAAGTCGGAACCTAAAACACCAAGGAAAACTGAGGAAATATCATCAAAGCGCTCTGAGGGAAATCCGCCAATGCAAGCTCCTCAGATTGCTGCCGAATCTCTGAAATCGCGGGTGCCTGCTGTGACTGATGTTCCAGCCGTGAAGTCGGAATCGGATGTGCAGGGTGTTTCAAATGGACCTCAGAGTGCAGGAAACGTTTCTGAACGAGCGCAACGAGTTGTTCCATCTAGCACTGCATCTATGTCTCAGGCCGTGATTCCACCAAGCCAACCTCTGTTTGATGAGCAGCAGTTGAGACAGTTCCAGGAGACGTTCAATCAAGCTCCTTGGCTGTATCCTGGTGCACAACAATTGATGATACCTCAGCTAGCCATGCCCCCTCCAATTGCCAGACCACTCTTCTTGGAACAAGATGAACGTAGGGTTCAAGGGTCTTTACAAGTTGGAGAGGCACCACAATTCGTGTATCCCTATGCCCAAAATCCTGGACCTCAAGAGAACTTGGGATTGAAAAGGGATTTAGAAATGCTGATGGAAGAAAACAAGAAACTTCGAGAATGTGTTTTAGCTTGGAAAAGTCAGAAGGAAGAAGAACCGCGGTTTCCACACCTAATGGTGAACAAAAGGAGGCTGAGACCACCACAAGAAAGGCCGCTAGACCCCCAAAGTATGAAGCTCAAAAGTCCGAAAGATTCCGCTTCAAAGGAGCCCCAAAGACTGAAGCAGAGGAGACCCGAAATTTCCGAAGTAAGGAGGCTGAGACCACCAAAGAGGCCGCCGGCCCCCAAAAGTCTACTTGGAAATCATATGCATAAGCACTGCACCGTGACGCTCGGCCCGACCAAGCTGCCAGTGAGCGTCTGTTGGGATCACATAGCTTTGAATGGCGTGTTGCTGCAAAAACTGAGCAAACATGTCACTATTGGCTTCGGTCGTGGTCAAACATCATGCTTTTGGGGGCCCATCAGAGCCAGGAGTTGGAAAATGCTTCAATGAGCCCTTCAGTAGTGCGGGTGCTTTCAGTTTGCCAGGTCTGGCAAGCTTGGGTTGCTGTTGCTCGTAGCAAGTTGGGCACACGAAATCAGCACAACCGCGGATGTCTTGTTCAGACCATCCATTCCTGCGAAGAGCCACTTGTAAGATCCTCATATCTGGGTGTCCGAGGTTCTGGTGTATTTTGCGAATCTGATTTGAGTGTGAATTGGGAAGTTGTTTGAACAGTGTACCATGAGATATACTTTGGGAAGTAGATGGTTCAGGAGGACAGGCATTCTCTCTCGGCACAGTGTCTGGGGAGCCTGGTTGTTCAGTTTCGGCAGTAGCTTCAGTTCTATGTGGCTCAGCCAAGGAACTTGGTTCCAAACGAGACTCCTTGGCCGGATGAGATTGCGCGGTCCTTTTATTGGACGCAAACACTGTCACCATCAACTTGCCTTGAGTGGACGCACGGATCTGTTGTCGATGCGACAATTTTTCCCACTCCTCCCAGCCATCGTCCGAGAACACTTCCAAGTCAGAACGGCGTTTGCCAAAGACAACTTTGCCTTCTCGGGGTGCACATGTTTCGGCCATGTGGAGGACTACCCGGACTTGAGACAACATGTCTGACCTGTCGGATGTGTTCATGGGAACATGGGGCGGACTCTGGTGAGTGCTTGCGTCGGATGAGCCGGCTCGGTCTATATACAAATGTTCCGGATGAAACTTCCCTGCGACGCTTGGGCTCTGGGTCTTCTCTTGCAAGGCTGGTGGTGACGGTCAGAGCCTGATTGATTCCGAAAACCCTTTCATGAACTTGACAACTACACAACGTGGCACGGCAGAATAGTTTACCAAACAATGCAGTGTACAGCTCTGTATACTTGGTGACAGACGCCCTACCCCAGCCAGGTATGTTGCAAGACCCTGCAATCTGATCATGGGAGTGGTTGCCAACACATTGAAATTGTTGTAACATCCTCCACAGGATCTGTGAAGTGGTCCAGATCTGGGTGCGTTTCCGGAGCCACTGCTGACTTTCTGGATGCTTCAGGTTTCCAGCTGTGCACATGTCACATACAACCTTGGGTATGGCGAACAATGTTGTCCATGTCATGTTGATAAACCTGTTTTGATCCCTGTGGTTGTTTGAAGACGGAACAACGCGTCACAGAGCTTGAGATGGACGCTTTCAGCACGCCTGTCATGATCTATCTGCTGGGCACATTTGATGGACTTCATGGCGTTGAGCCTGTTCAAATTGCTCCATGGACCGCATTACGGGGAAATCCATATATATGTTGAGGTCTGATTTGCCAGACTCATACAATCGACATCGGCCAGAGAACGTGGCCAAATCACCATGCTTGAGTCCAAAATGCTTGAGTCCAAAATGGAACGTGATCATGCCGAGTGCTTCACCCTGCCGAGTCAACTGGCTTTGTTCAGAGCAGTAGACTTCAAGGACATGAGATCTTGACTGCTTCCAGTGGCGTTTCATGTCATCCATGGTGTATTGAGGAAACTTTTTGTGAAAATATGTCCACATCTCTTGGTAAGCCCAGTTGAAAGATCCAGCCTCTTGGTGAACCAAATCAGAAAAATAGCCAGCATCGATGATCTCGTCTGGAATGGTGTGAAGACAGTGCTTACCATGATCATCGCGCATGAGAGATCTCAACCCATGTCCTATGTCAGCATGCATCACAGCTTTTGGGATTGCCCTGAGTCAGCATGGCCTGTCAGTGTCAGAGCTTGGAGTTGGTGAGTGATCTGCTGGAGCGCAATCTCCATGTTCTCGATCCGGCCGTTCTGGTGGTGCATCTCTTCTTTGATCATCAGGGAGGTCTCTTCTTGGACCACATTCCAATGCTTGGACTCCTCCTCTTCCGACCAACTCTCCTGGCTGAGATCGTCCGGCATGTCTGGGGGCCGAGCTTTGGCCTTGGCTTTCAACTCGTGTCGGCCGGGCTGAGCCAGGGGATCGGCTTCTAACTGAAGCTCTTGACGCTCCACATAGAGATTGATGTAGTGGAGGAAGGCGTGATGAGCATGTTTCTGGGACGTCTCGTACTTCTTGACGAACCACGCCGTGTACTTGGGGTCCTGAAATCTTTGTCCCAACTTCGCTTCGCCAAACGAGATCCGTTGCTTGGCCAGTTGCTTGTAGGACATCTTCATGAACTCCACTGTGTTCTTTTGGGTGGTCACCGCCTGGAATCGCTCGGCAAGGGTTGACTGGGCCATGTTCGTCAGTGTCGACGGTCGCGCTTGGGTCAGGCGTGGGGATACACAACTTGGTCTCACAAACCTGCATGGTATCATGTGATGGCTGTTGCATGCTGTTGTCGGCAACGGGTGAATTGATTGAGCACGCGATCTCCCCTTTTGAATGTCAACCTGAGACCTGATTGCCTGGTTCATGAAGACAAGTCGGACGAGCTCACAGAAATCTAGCAGATACAGCTTCTTGGCGGTGAGCGATAAAAGCATTTTGAGATCTTGGCAAAAGTGACCGCGTCGTTGGCTGTGTCAATCTGAGCCCCCAAAGTGCGAAAGACATTATTGGATATCAAAAATGGAGTCTTGGACTGGACAATGCGCACTTTGACATTCCATCGGGACAATGGCACCAGTAGGGCTTCATGACACTCAACCGTGTTACCGTTTCCAAAACGGAAAATCGTATTGCATGGGACCCTTTGGACCTTCTGTGCTGCACTTCATGCGGCAAATGCTCAAGCAATTCAGACACTTGTTGACTGCCTATGACTGTTTGGCTGGCACCAAAGTCAACAATGCCAAATGGCCCATGACTCACAAACATCGTCTCATCAGGGGGTCACTGTTGGACCTCAATCAGTGATAGACCCGTATGAGTCTCGGATGCATTGGATCGCGATTGGGTCCCGGATGAAGGCATTTCAGGTGCAATCTTCAGCTGAGGGCTTAGGCGGTTCTTCAAGGCTGTCGCAAACCTGGTGAGGGGAGGACCCGGAAGACTGGGACATGCCGTGTCATTACTGGTATCTTCCATCCCAAAACACAAAACAACAAACCGACTGACTTAAACCCAAAACTTCATGCATGTGAGATGCTTCATCATCATGGTGATTCACGAGGTTCATGTCGTTGTCAAAACTGGTGTCTTCAACCATCATTACTGTTCCAGCAAAAGCAGAATCCTTTGAACCTGTGGCACCTGTCTGACCTTGGATTTCCCCTTGCCCTTGGACCCTGCATTGGAACCCTTGGCGGCCTGCCAGAAACCACGGTTTTTGTTGCGGTCTGACAACCGTTTTCGGGCATCTACATAGGTGTTGTAGCAGGCTGCCAGTTCCATATCCCCTTGAAGAGCTTCGAGGATACTGTCTTCTTCAGACTGCATACATAGCACTGCATCGGGGTCAGTGTCATCATAGAGGGTTTTCCCATCATCCCATGAATCGCCTACATATGCATGTTCCTCCTCAGTGACAAATGCTGGTTGATCATCTTCCAAGACTGCATTGACGACATACGTCTTGGATCTGGAAACATTCTTGGAGTCCGACTGAATCTCATTTAAAAAGCGAGATCCCAACAACTTCAGTGACGAGACAATAGCATCATATTCTAATGCCTCTTTGGAATCCACAGTTTCTTTTTGTCATCAGTATTCAATCCAGAGTTTCGCAATAGGATATAGGCTCTGACCTCAGGGAATCCCACACCCATCTGTAACAACTCCTCAAACTAGAAATCATGCCGTGCTAGATAACTTTCATGTGTTTCATCCGTCCTCTGTGTTGTGGAAAAGATCGCCCTCTCAAATCGCTCAAACTTTTCCTCCAGCTTGCTCTTTCCCCAAATCCCTCCGAGGGAGGTCACCAGGAGCTTCACGCCCTCGATGGAATCCACCTTGAGCTTCGTTGCGTCGATCCGCATGACCTTCTTGAACGAACTACCTTCGCACAACATTGCTGCACGGGGAGCCAACAAGGCTAAATGCTCCTGTGGCCATAGTCCAGCAAGGAATTCGATCTTTTTGGGGTACTCGTTGATATCCGTCTCACCTGGTTTGAAAGCTGGTATCATGTTCCAGGGCAAATGCGAAAGGGCTGTCTGACCTGTGCCAGCTGAGCTAGTTGCAAAAGTCGGGACAGTCCCAGCTGGATCCTCAGCGCCCCTTGACATCCTGGATCGCGGCAGCTCCGCTACCAGTGTAGAACTGGTAGGGGCCCCTTGGCTTTACCCAATCCTCCTCCAATCAAAGCTTCACCAAGGCCCTCCCGAGCCGCAAAGAAAGGCGCCACGCCTTTTATGGCTGCAACCACGAACCGTTGTGACCTACTGGGGCTACGCAAGCCCTCGCTGTTGCACCTGAGCCACATTCTCGTGGCACGTATGGTTCATACCTAATTGGATGGGAACCTGGCAGACAACGCATTGTACTGGACATCCAATGCCATCACATGCAAGTGGCTCAAGAGTGTACAAATCACATATATATATACATATATATATATGTATATATATATATGTATATATATATGTATATATATATATATGTGTATATATATATATTTTGCATTTATATTCATAGATGTATATGATCTCACGACCATGTTTTGCCCGTCCCGGGTGCATTGCTTTTTCGCGTGTTCGGTGTATTTTTTGCGGGCGGCGATTGATCTGTGCCAGGTCAGGGCCGTCCAGGCACTTGCAGATCTTCCCAAGGTCAAGGACTTTCCGATGTCATGAGAGATCTACACTAATAAATGTTAATATAAATGTTTTACAAATGTCATAGATAAACTGTTATATATCTTATGTAAAAACCTTTTAAATAGTCATAAAATGTCATAGATTATAGCTATATCATAGTATATATTTGGCATCTATGACATATATAGCTATATGTCATATATGTTTGTCTACACTTAAATATTAATTATCATGAGAGATCATAATACATGGAGATGTCTGCATATCCAATGCAGTATCATGATCTATTATCATTAATGTATAGTATGCTATATGTTATGACATATCCATATATCGTTCATTTTTGTTTGCGAATTCCAGCATGAGAGGATTTTGTTCTGCACCCATATCGCCCTTGGGTCGGTTCGAAGAATTGCGTTGGCACGCGAGTTTTATCAAGATGATTTCAGGGTGGTTATTCGTATCAATCTCTGCTGATTGGAATTGTTTTCATTGTATCTTTGCGCAAAACACAGCTCCGTGGCATGTTTCAAGTAGAACAACAGCAGAGTAGGAGATTCGGAGTCATATGAACGGCATTTCTTCAGATCCGGCCAGATGTGTTGTGACACGAACACGAGCGGATAATATTGGTAGACGAACCACCCCAGAAAGCGATGAGCAACATACTCTTATTTGAGGGTAACATGATCATGGCACAACCTCGTTTCCAATTGGAAAACCAGCAGTTAGATTGATAGTCTATTGACAATTTTCCAATATTCTGATTGCCTACATTGGTTACATCCCCATGTCCAAATGCTTTGCAGGATGAAGAAGGGAGAGTGGTGCCACCGAAATTGGATGTGGCATTTCTACCTGTCCGCGTCCCCTTAGTTGATTGGAGTCGGCAACTCGAAAAAAACCCAGACAATTTGGATGTGCTGGAAGCCGATGTGGTGTCGGATCTTCTGTCCTGCTGGTTGGCTCAAAAATATGGTGAGGCCATGGGGATGGGGATCCATGTGGAGGTGGCTTGTATCAACTGCCGCAACGCTTCTGAACGATGTTGCCCAAAGAGATGACTAGAGTGACTAGAGATGGCTAGAGATGGCTAGAGATGCTGGTTTTTGCTTCTCAATGCTTTCTAAAGAAACTATTTTGTGTCCACCGAAACTCGAGCCAACGCTCTTTCAATCCTGGACGCACGGTGTCGCAGTGTTTTTTCCTTCTCCCGACTTGTCTCCCTTCTCTCAGAATTCGACCCTCATATGACTCATATCCACTCATTACACTGATTATGATTCAGGACAGCAATCAGGAACATTATCAAACTGACAGGTTGAACAGAGCTGGGTTGTTTCCACTGTGCGAGAGCTGTTTACATGGAGACCTACAGAATCCTACATTGATACATATAATTCTGATTCTACATAATATACATAATACACATTTGATACATAATATACTGCAGGAAAACATTTGATGTATCATCTGCATTCTGGATATTCCAGATGTTTTCTTCCAGATGTTTTCCTGTAGTTCCATCGACGACCATGGAAATATCTGGGGCATACCTTTGGGCCGGACTGGCCACTGGCGTGACCCCCAAACATGTAAGTCTGAAAAAACATCAAAAACAGGTAACTTCTGCAGGAAGTGATTTTTGCTTCACAGGTACGCAGGCAAAAGCAATTATGGTATATTTTTGCACATCAAGAATTTAAATGACTGAATGACTGAATGACTGAATGAATGAATGAAATGAAATGAAAGAAAGAATGAATGAAATGAATGAATGAATGAATGAATGAATGAAATGAATGAATGAATGAATGAATGAATGAAATGAATGAATGAATGAATGAATGAATGAAATGAATGAATGAATGAATGAATGATATGAATGAATGAATGAATGAATGAATGAATGAATGAAATGAATGAATGAATGAATGAATGAATGAATGAATGAATGAATGAATGAATGAATGAAATGAATGAATTGAAACTGAAAATGAAATGAAATGAAATGAAATTGAATGAAATGAAATGAAATGAAATGAAATGAATGATTGAATGAATGAATGAACTGAAGGAAATGAATGAATGAATGAATGAATGAATGAATGAAATGAAATGAATGAAATGAAATGAATGAATGAAATGAATGAATGAATGAATGAACTGAATGAATGAATGAATGAATGAAAATGAATGAATGAATGAATGAATGAATGAATGAATGAATGAATGAATGAATGAATGAATGAATGAAAATGAATGAATGAAATGAATGAATGAATGAATGAAATGAAATGAATGAATGAATGAATGAAATGAATGAATGAATGAAATGAAATGAATGAATGAATGAATGAATGAATGAATGAATGAATGAATGAAATGAATGAATGAATGAATGAATGAATGAAATGAATGAATGAATGAATGAACGAATGAATGAAAGAAATGAATGAATGAATGAATGAAATGCAATGAAATGAATGAAATGAAACGAAACGAAATGAAATGAAATGAAATGAAAGAATGAATGAGTGAATGAATGAAATGAATGAATGAAACGAAACGAAACGAAATAAAATGAAATGAATGAAATGAAATGAAATGAAATGAAATAATGAATGAATGAATGAATGAATGGATGAATGAATGAAATGAAATAAAATGAAATGAAATAAAATGAAATGAATGAATGAATGAATGGAATGAATGCATGGAATGAATGAATGGAATGAATGAATGAATGAATGAATGAATGATTGAATGAATGAATGAATGAACGAATGAAATGAATGAAATGAATGAAATGAATGAAATGAATGAAATGAATGAATGAATGAAATGAAATGAAATGAAATGAAATGAATGAATGAATGAAATGAATGAATGAATGAAAACGAGGGAACAAACAAATCCATCTCATTTATGGACACGTCTTTTTTTCCTCCATAAAAGCCGAGGGCTTTTTCAACCCACATTTTTGACCGGGTCCACGAACGCGCGGCGAAGCGCCAGGATTCCAATCTGATGATGCTGGTCCAGGATATTCGAAACATCTCGCTGGCCGATGAAGAGTCTGATGCCTCCATGGGTCTGGTTCTGCTGCTGGATGGCTTAGACGAAGCTTCTTCAAGGCCAGCGTTGGTTCACTGCGCCTGACCTTTTTAAGAAGCAAATTGGCCCATTTGCTTTTCCATGTTTTTCCAAAAAAACAAAAAAAAACAAATAACATCCCAAAATTAACGGATAGCAGTTGTAGTTGCCGTTTGTTTTTTCTTTTCTGGAAGTGTCCCAAACCACCGCAGATGGGCAACCCAGGTTTGGCAGATAGCAGTTGCAGTTGCGTTTTGTTTGTTTGAAGCCAGTTGGCCCATTTCCTTGTCCCAACCAACTCAAAAAGCAGATGGCAATTTCAAATAAGGAAATAGCAGTTGTAGTTGCCTTTTGTTTGTTTAAAGCAAGTTGGCCCATTTGCGTTTCCCAAACCACCAACAAAAGCAGATAGCGACCCAAAATTAGCAGACAACAGCTGTAGTTGCCTTTTGTTTGTTTAGCACGTTGGCCCATTTGCTTTTCCCCAGCCACCAAGAAAGCAAATGGCAACTCCAGATAAGCAGATGGCAGTTGTAGGTGCTTTTTTGTTTTGTTGAACAAACTTTGACTCAGAAACTTACTGCGAATCAGCAACAAAGAGTCAGAAACAAAAACTCGCGAATCCGAAACCAAAAAAAAACGTGAATCAGAAAACATCCCATGAGGCCAATGGCAAAAACAAAACTTTTGACAATAAGCAGCTTGGGATGTTCTGCAAAACAGATAAAGAGCGAGTGCTGCTTGAATACTTTTGAAACAAGATGATATTGGGGTTTGCGTATGTCCTAAGATATCATGACACATCCATGCAGGTTCATCCATTATATTACCGAATATTACCTTCAACTTATTTTCATAAGGAATCAGATCTGCCACCCCCTCTGAACAACATATTCAATGGGATGATATTCCCTTTAACTTATCGTCATGATCAAATCCGCCACCCCCTCTGATGTGACGCTTGGAACTGCCCGCTTGGTGTAAAGCCCCTCCATGCAATTCCTTCCACAGACGCCGCCGGAGAAGTGCTTCAGACCGGTTGAAACGGGTTTCCAAAGCACAGTGCTTGGTTTCTGATCCACGTTTCCGATTGAGTTGTGGTTGCCAATTCAGGGGTTTTTGTTTCTGATTGAGGGCTCTTAGTTTCCCATTAACTGGGTTCAGTTTCTGCTTCCTGTGGTTTCTGATTCTTTGATTTTAGTTTCCGATTCACGAGTTTTGGTTTCCAATCAACGGGTTTTAGCTTCCGATTAACGGGATTTAGTTTCGGATTAATGGCTGGACCTTTGTTTGTTTAGCAGATTGGCCCATTTGATTTTCCCAAAGCACCAAAAAAGCAGATGGCAACCCAAAATTAGCAGCTGCAGTTGTAGTAGTTGCCTGTTGTTTTTACTTTTTTAGAAGCATGTTGGTCCATTTGCTTTTCCCAAATACCACAGAAAGAAAGTGACACACTACAATTAGCAGATGGCAGTCGTAGTTGCCTTTTGTTCCCCACATTGATGTGTGGGGTTTTTGTTTTTAGTTCTGTATCCGCCGCCGCCGCCGCCTCCTCCTCGCCCGCCCGTCCTCCCCTCACTCACTCACTCACTCACTCACTCACTCACTCACTCACTCACTCACTCACTCACTCACTCACTCACTCACTCACTCACTCACTGGCACACACACACACACTCACTCACTCACACTCACTCACTCACACTCACTCAACTCACTCACTCTCACTCACTCACACACACACACTCACTCACTCACACTCACTCACTCACACTCACTCAACTCACTCACTCTCACTCACTCACACACACACACAATCACTCACTCACACTCACTCACACTCACTCACACTCACTCACACTCACAACTCACTCACTCTCACTCACTCTCACTCACTCTCACTCACTCTCACTCACTCAACTCACTCAACTCACTCACTCACTCACACTCACTCACACTCACTCAACTCACTCACTCTCACGCACTCACACACACACACTCACTCACTCACTCACTCACTCTCTCACTCTCACTCTCACTCTCACTCACACTCACACTCACACTCACACTCACTCTCACTCACTCACTCACGCACGCACGCACGCACGCACTCACTCACTCACTCTCACTCACTCTCACTCACTCACTCACTCTCACTCACTCACTCACTCACTCCACTCACTCACTCACTCACTCACTCACTCACTCACTCACTCACTCACTCTCTCACTCTCTCACTCTCTCACTCTCTCACTCTCTCACTCTCTCACTCTCTCCACTCTCTCACTCTCTCACTCTCTCACTCTCTCCCTCTCTCATTCTCTCACTCTCTCACTCTCTCACTCTCTCACTCTCTCACTCTCTCACTCTCTCACTCTCTCACTCTCTCACTCTCTCACTCTCTCACTCTATAAATCAATCACACACACTCACATCACTCACTCACAGCACTCACTCAAACTCAACTCACACTCACTCACTCAACTCACTCACACTCACTCACTCAACTCACTCACACTCACTCACTCACACTCACTCACGCAGGCGCGGCACTTGGTGCTCTGCAAGGGGTCGGATGTACGTCCTGGCGTCCCTTGGTCTCCGCTGCTCTGCCCGGTGGCTTTTGCGTGGCAGGCGCAGCCCTTGGTGCTCTGCAAGGGGTCGGATGTATGCCCTGGTGTCCCTTGGTCTCCGGTGCTTTGCCGGTGGCTTTTGCGTGGCAGGCGCAGCACTTGGTGCTCTGCAAGGGGTCGGATGTACGCCCTGGCGTCCCTTGGTCTCCGCTGCTCTGCCGGTGGCTTTTGCGTGGCAGGCGCAGCACTTGGTGCTCTGCAAGGGGTCGGATGTACGCTCTGGCGTCCCTTGGTCTCCGCTGCTCTGCCGGTGGCTTTTGTGTGGCAGGCGCGGCACTTGGTGCTCTGCAAGGGGTCCGATGTACGCCCTGGCGTCCCTTGGTCTCCGCTGCTCTGCCGGTGACTTTTGCGTGGCAGGCGCAGCACTTGTTGCTCCGCAAGGGGTCGGATGTACGCCCTGGCGTCCCTTGGTCTCTGGTGCTCTGCCGCTGGCTTTTGCGTGGCAGGCGCAGCACTTGGTGCTCTGCAAGGGGTCCGATGTACGCCCTGGCGTCCCTTGGTCTTCGCTGGCTTTTGCGTGGCAGGCGCGGCACTTGGTGCTCTGCAAGGGGTCGGATGTACGCCTTGGCGTCCCTTGGTCTCCGCTGCTCTGCCGGTGGCTTTTGCGTGGCAGGCGCAGCACTTGGTGCTCTGCAAGGGGTCGGATGTACGCCCTGGCGTCCCTTGGTCTCTGGTGCTCTGCCGCTGGCTTTTGCGTGGCAGGCGCAGCACTTGGTGCTCTGCAAGGGGTCGGATGTACGCCCTGGCGTCCCTTGGTCTCCGCTGCTCTGCTGGTGGCTTTTGCGTGGCAGGGTCGGCACTCACTCACTCACTCACTCACTCGCTCACTCACTCGCTCCCTCA